CAAGGGCACAGGCGTGGCCCGCAGCCCCGCCCTCCCCGCTCCGGGGCCTTTGTTTCTGGCTGACAGCTGAGGCTGCTCGCGACCCCCAGGCTTCTGGGCGCCCCTGCGGGAGCGGGGTCCTGGGCCCCCGTGTTCCCGCTCTCACTTCCAGCAACACCCGCCGAGCGGCTCTGCCTGCTCGGTCTTTCTCTCCTCCCTTTCTCCCAATGTTCCCATCTTGCTCTTCTCTCCTCCCTCTTTCCTTTCATTACCTGCACTCCATTCTGACTCCAGGTTTCCTTTATGCATTCCTTCTCTTTCTCCTCTTCTCCGTATTTGCCATCTTCGTTATCACCCCTTCGTACTCACTAGTATCCCTTTACAAGGTTTCCTCACTCCAAGCCCAAAGTCCCGCCAAAAGGCTGTATTTCTAGGTTCAGAGACTTGACCAGCAGCCTGGTGAGGGGCACTGCTTCCCCAGGCCAGGATTACAGACCGGAACCCAGAGCACTGGCGCTCTTACTCCCAAGACATTTCAAAGGCAAACTTTCTCAGTTCCCTCCCAGGGACTGCGTTTCAGGGAAAAGCTGAGGCCTGTTTCAAGTTTACAGCTATTAATTTCACCCAGTACCTTTCTAACACTATCATTTTCTTTACCACACTCACTTTCAACTTTTCGTAATTGAGCTAGGAGGAAAACCAAGCTTACAAGCTTCGGGTGGACAGTTAAACGGGGTGCCAGGTGTTGCATGAAGCTCTGGTTCTGAGGATGCACTGGAGCTAATCCTCTAAAAGCCAGGCCTGGCTGTGCCCAGGCAGCATCAACCTCAGACAAAAGAGGTGTGTGTGTGTGTGTGTGTGTGTGTGTGTGTGTGTGTGTGAGAGAGAGAGAGATATTTAGTAGCTGACCTCTGATTGTAAGTAGAATGGAGGGAATGGAGGGAGACAGTCCTAAGGGAAGCAACACCCTTTTGTTTCTGCCGCCCTCTGCTCAATACCCTGTAGGAGATCTTCACTAAGATCTAGACCCTTCCTGGAGGCATCATAGCCTGGGGTCTGAGAGCACAGACAGGTTCTGTCCCTTATCATCTCTGTGACCTCGAGCAGTGCTTTAAGCTCCTTAGATCTCAGTTTTTTCATGTGTAACGTGGGGGTGGCAATTCCCGGTATGTAAACTCCTGAGGGCAGAGTCTATTCTCCTGTGTTCATGGCTGAGGGAGTTGGTCTTGTTTTGCTCATGGATGCATTCCCAACGCCTAGAACTTGCCGGGCATGTAGTAGGCACTCAATAAATATTTGTTAAAGAATGAATTCATAGTTTGTAGTTTGTTGTGAGGATTCAGTGGGAAACCTGGCATACGGTCAGTACTTACACATGGTAATTATTACAAGTAATACTACAGCTTCTCAGTGTCAACCCCAAAGGCTACTCAGCCTTCTTTGAACTTCACCTCTTCTCTCCTACCTTTGTCTGTACTTGTCCCTCCATTTGAAAAGACTTTCTCTACCTGTCAAAATTTGAGACCTACCATGCACACCTTCTCTGATCATCCCAGGCAGAATGATGGCCCCTTTATCTAAAGCCCCATGCTTCCTGCAGCCCATTCAGGGACATAGCATATGCATGCTTGCTTGCATGGTGGCTGGACTGTAGGTCTGCCTCCCTAGGGTGTGAGCGGTCCTTAGTCAGGGACTGGACTCTATACCTAGCTCCAGAGACAAATGTGGTGCCTCCCAGGTGGCAGTGTCTCAGGAATATTTTCGGAATGGGTCAGTATTGACCAAACACCCCAGATCCTTAAGTAAAGGGTAGAATCTTGGAAGGTAGAGTAAGGGATCCGGGGGGCTCCAGACTTCAGTCAAACTCATTTTAGTGTCTTCAGATGTGGATTCTATGGAAGAGGCAAAGGCTTCTGGAGGCCTGCTGCTCCTGGTTTGGACCCCACCAATGACTACTTCAATGCTGTTGGAAAAGCCATGTTCCTGGCTAGGCCTCAGTTTCTGCCCCGCCTCCCCCTTTCTCCCAGTGTTCCCATCTTACTCTTCTCCCTCCCTCTTTCCTTTTATTACCTGCGCTCCGTTCTGACTCCAGGTTCCCTTTATCCATTCCTTCTCTTTCTCCTATTCTCTGTATTTGCCATCTTCTTTATCCATATTTCTCCCCCCTCTCCTCTCCCTTCTACTCTCTCTAAAAATCAATGGAAAAAAATACCCTAACTTTAGGTGAGGATTTAAAAAAAGGAAGAAACATTCTGTGCAAGGGATGTTTCAGAGATAAATAAGGTGCGTTGACCATGGAGGTGGAAGTAAGGAAGTGAAATGGACAGAGGAGAGCTGTGATGGTATACTGTGTGTGTGTGTGTGTGTGTGTGTGTGTGTGTGTGTGTGTGTTCATAAAAGCCTCAGGAATGTGGTCTCCAGGAGCACAAAGCCATAATTAGCTCCCTGATTCAGCTGCTTGGTATGGTAATGCAGTGGCTGGGTGTGTCTGCCCCTAAAACCCCTGGTGAGATTCTCAGTGTGGCTCCTCTTCCTTCCTTTGTCTCCTGAAGAACTGCTACTGTCCCTGGGCCCTGGGTATCCCCTCTGGACATCGGCATCACTCAGGCTCGCCCTTGTCTGAGCTGAGTCTAGAAAGCTGGGTTATAAAGCATGTTCTTTTAAAAAGTCTTCATCTACTCATCACCTAAGATCAAGTAGTTTACTGTCCTGGCTTCTCATTCTGTTCTTCATCTCTGGAAACTAGGATTGGCCATACAGGTCAGGCCCATGGACCAGCAGCTTGTCTGGATTAGAAACTTCCCTGCCTTTCCAATGGACTTATCACAGTTCAAATAACTGTCTGCCTTCTTGTTCACCTTCAACTCTTCTGCAAGTTTCTCATTCAAGACCACTTGCTTCTTATTCAACATTAAGTCCCCAACACATTGTTGGTATTTGGCAAACACTCAAAAATTACTTGAATGAGTTCTATGGAGGGGCCAGGGTGATGTTTCAGAAAGGCATGGACTCACACACAGAAGATCCCCATCTACTCCCACTTTTCAAACGTGTGCTCTTGTCATAACCTTTTTGAGACTCAGTTTGCTCATTGGTAGAATGGGTCCAATAACATTTGCCCTGTTTGTCTTATGGCAATGACCACAAAGATGAAAAGAATTAATAAAGTCAAAGGTGGTAAGAACAGTATAAATGTTAAATAATTGTTTAATTTCTTTTAAGTCTAAAAATCCAGGGCCTTGTATTGGGAGATAAGAAAGTCTAACTAGCCCTGGCTGGTGTTGCTCAGTCATTAGAGCGCCGGCCCACGCACCAAAGGGTCTCAGCTTCTGTTCTGGTCCAGGGCACATACCTTGTTGCAGGTTCAATTCCCAGCCCTCAGTGGGGGGGATGGGGTGGAGGCATGTATGCAAGGCAACCAATTAATGTGTCTCCATCACATCAATATTTCTTTCTCTCACTCTCTCTCTCTTTCCCCTCCTTTTTCCTCCCTCCCTTTCACTCTTTTTAAAAATCAATGGAAAGAAAGGCTGACTATATTTAATTGAGGTTGGGTACTTTCTAAAAGTAGATGAAAAAATATTATAATGCTAGATCATTGAGAAAAGTTTTCAGGGAACAGGCTTCCACTACACCATCTATCTCCCAACTAACCAGAAAAAGTACAAGAAGGCTTCTTTTCCTGCAGTCGAGGCCAGGCCTTCTGACCTTAGAGGACAGGTCCTGTCTCCGTCCAGGGTACAAAACGGATCCCCAGGAGTTGCCTTGGATGTGTAGCTCTTATAACCAGAATTTACCTTTCTCACCTGTGAGTCCTGGGGCACCTCGACTCTTATCTCTGGGCTTCAACTAACTCTCCTTTGTGTTGGGAGGAAGAGCTCCTCCTTGGCTTGTCTGAGTGCTAAATGAGATAAAATGCAAGAGGGATTTCTCATTTCCTAGGAAGTACTACATGACTTCAAGGAATTGTGTATCACTACCAATATCCTCCTCCTCATCAGTAGCATAATTATCTATAGCTATGCTGAGTATTAACTTGTGTTCAGGCTCAGGCAACCAGGGAAGCTGTAGAGGGAACAAATGCTTAGGTGCCCTAGGGAAAACTCGCTGACCTCAGAATTCCTGCCCAAGGGTGACTCATCCCAGCTAACTGCTCAAGTTACCTCCGGAAAGATGTCCACCCCACCCTTTCATTGCAAGGAAAACTGAGTCCAAGAGCAAGAGAAGAAATGGACCCCGTTTCACTGAAGCTAGGACCCCAAGGGTTTAAGGCATGTGTCCGCCACCTGCCGCAGAAACCGTGTAACTGATGCAGTGCCTCAATGTGGTTTGGTTTGGGCAGTGTAGCCCGTAGGCAGTCCGCCTTCCCCTGAGAACAGTGAACCAGACATCTTGGCGAATGTAAAAGCAGGACTCAAATAGCACTAACTAGCTTCTAGTGCAAATATCCTTTATTTAGCCTCTAGTTCACAAGGCTCATGATAATCATTTAGCAAACCCGTCAATATAAATGCAGGGTTGAACAAGATGACAGAGAAATAAGAAGGCAATATTCAAATTTTACTTTCCCCCACCCCCAAACACCATTTCAAAAGGATACAATAGGCCAGTGGTTCTCAACCTTCCTAATGCCGCGACCCTTTAATACAGTTCCTCATGTTGTGGTGACCCCCAATTTCATTGTTACAAATTGAACATAATTAAAGCATAGTGATTAATCACAAAACAATATATAATTACATATGTGTTTTCCAATGGTCTTAGGCGACCCCTGTGAAAGGGTCATTCGACCCCCAAAGGGGTCGCGACCCACAGGTTGAGAACCTCTGCAATAGGCTATTTCTAATTCAGTATCCTAGCTCTGAAAGGTCCTTGCCCGTCACCTGTTCTGGAATCTATC